AAAAAAAAAAGACTTCACTGAGGAGCTGCGAACCAACAACAGTTAAAGCACTCTATCACTGCGAGGCTCCACAGACAGACTGTGATCTGCTCACTGCTTTAAAATAAATTCAAAAAGCAGTGCAACCTGTTCATAATCAGAAAATCATCAAGAAGCCTTCAGCTGAGTCCAACATCATGCACTCAAAGGTTCATGATGAAACGCGTGCTGTTAATCGTCCTGAACATCAGAGCTTTCTGTGTGTCTGCAGCTGGTATGGTCGAGCTCACTGCTTCTCTTTTTGACACGTGACTTTTTGCTTCAGTTTGAGATTTCTCACATTGTGTCTGATGAAACCGTACAGCTAGAAAAACATGGAGTCTGGCCTCACACACACTACACATATGCTGTACTGTTTGATTTCAGTCGTTTTTTCTACATTGCTTGGCTGTTTCATAAAATATTTTTAATAACATTTAAATTTCTTTGTATTATTGTGAGTTTAAGGACAGAATATTATGAACTTCATGCTCTTAACATTTAATCAAATCAGAATCAGGTTACGTTCATTGTCGAGTGTCTTCATTCGCCTTACAGACAGGTCTGAACACAGCAAACATGAGAACCACATTTTTTGAGGTTTATTGTGTTTGTTGTTTCTTTGACATCACCTGAAAGGCTTTTCTTTGATGAGATACACTGATGAAGCTTCCCCTTATTCAGACGGAGGTTCTTGGTCAGCCTGAGAGCGAGAATGACGGTAACCCTGAGTAAGAAGCACGAGACTTATCAACACTAAAACAAGCAGAAATTATTTAGTTAAATTATTATTTAGAAACAACAAAAACAGGACAGTTAAAAGTTTTAACTCCAGTAAATCGCTTCATGTTTCAGCACATCATTTTTTCTCTCCTTGTGTTTTTGGATTTGGTCGTCTCTGCGTCAATACGACGTCTCTGTGGTGCATTTCAGAGGAGCTAACAGTGAAACTCAAACCTGTGAGTTCCTCCTCACCCAGGCTGCACGACATGTTTCAGTTACAATGAACTTATTGAAAAATCAAAGGAAGTGAAACACTGGCCACAGAGACATTAAACTCACCACCTCAGTGTGTCAGTCAGTGTCTTCATCAGCACTGCTGACCACACGTTTAAAGAAGACGTCATTCAGTCGGCTCATTAAAACGTAAGGATGGCAGTTTGGGACAAAAACAGTCTGTGGGCTCCTGTTCCTGCTGGCAGGTAAGACTGACTGTGATGATGATCATTTGATTTGCTTCTCAAACTTTGGTTTGGAATAATTTTGGCCAAAAAGCTTCTGTTTTCCCATCAAACTGTTATTAATGAACAGATTTGATTGAGTTAAATGAGTTTTTTAATCTCTTGAATGTTTCAGATGGATCAAAAATTCTCTCTCAAGAAAATCTGAACAGTAAAGAAGTTTGAATGGTTGTGTCTGATGTTGATCTGATGACATTACCTTTGCATTCTGCATCAAAAAGTCAGAACTTTTCAAAGATCTTGTTGTTTGAACTGAAACCTTGTTTTAGTGCTTCACACCGCAGTCTGTATTTACTGACGATCCCTGGCTGCCCCAGTCTGCATGGCAAATATCCTTCGGCAAGATACTAACCCTAAGTTGCCTCTGATGCAGCCATCGGTGTATGAAAGCACTGACAAGCATAGAAAGCAGTGTTTGTGTGAATGGGTGAATGTGGCATGTTGTATAAAGCGCTATAGAAGAGTCAGTCCCTTTACCGTCCATCACTAAACTGAGTCACTGCGTTCTAATCGCTGTTTGCTCGTCTTTAGGTGCTGTGGGTCAAACTGTGATCTATC